CACAAAAGCAGAGGGGATTTAGGCTCGACTATACCCAGAGCAAGATTATGGCATAAATGAGGTCAGATGTTGGTAACTAAAATCAGCTTGGCATCCTGCTGTGATAGGTCTGGGTTTCATGAGACATGTCAGGAACTGTTCTCCAGCCCTGGGCATATTTCCCAATCCACAAAAGCAGAGGGGATTTAGGCTCGACTATACCCAGAGCAAGATTATGGCATAAATGAGGTCAGATGTTGGTAACTAAAACTGTAACTCGCTTTATTAGCATCCGAGAGAGGGATAAAAAAGCGGAAAAGAAGAAAATATGCAAAGAATATAATAAAAAGCAAACAATAGTCACCACTATGGATCCAACATCATCCAGTTGATCTGTCTGCTTTGGCAGGGGAGATGTCTTGCCTGGGGCTGTCAGCTCACAGCTCTTATGCTTACAGGTCCATTCCCCTTTACAGCTTAATTGCAGCAGTTTGTAGACCAGGGTGACAGCACTTGCCCCCCAGAGGCCTTAATATTCAGTCCTTATCAGAGTCCTTTGCTGCGGTGAATTGACAATATTTGGGCAAAGTGAGAGTGATAGTGACAGCAGTTCTCACAAACCGAACTCCTCATGTGAGGAGGCTGTTGTGTCTGCTCCATATCTACCTGTCCCAGGACAGCAATTCTCTGGTACTGCAAGGCCTGAGAGTCATTGTGCTGGTGATGACATCTAGGTACACTGTACTTGGAGACATTGTCAAGACAAAACAGTTCATTCTTTTTGGTTTCTCATGGCATATATCTTTATTGCTTTTCTAGGTGGCCTCACCAGCTGTGTCCTGGCACAGCTGGGTCCTCTGCTCAGGCTCAAGGCATTCTTGCTCTGAGCCCAGTGTCAAGGTGCCAGAGCTTGTCTGTGCCCTGAGCCTGGAGCCGCTGAGAGGGGGAATTGTGGTCCTTCCTTGATTTCTGGGGTGGGTAAAGGGCTGTCTGAGGTGGGGAAGATGGAGACCTCCCCCCATGGGTTAGGGGTGCTTGGCTGGAGCTGTGCTGTGTCATGGCTGCTGTTTTGTCCTGCCCTTGCTGGGAGATGGGGCTGATTTCTTAGTTCTGCTCCTTTTCCCCGAGTTTCTAAATCCCTGTAGGCTTTAGAGAGATGGAGCCATGGGCTATGGAAGAGCATCACTCCAGGGCTAGAGGGTAGGGGAAGCTGCTAGAGTGGGATGGGGGTGTGTAGAGTGGAAGCCCTGTGGAAATAAGTGTTCTGGGCCTGATGGACAGGCTTCATTGCAAGTGAAATGAAATTGAAGTTAGAAAATTGAAACAAATTATCCAGTTATTCTCCAGACCCAGGAATAAATCATGGAAATCCAGATTAATGTTGATACCAGGAAAACCTGCAACATTAAAACTCGATAACCACTTCTACTATTAAGTGGGTACTTGTTTATTCAGTGCTGGGTGCATGGGAGATTGCTGTTCCAAACATGAACACATTTCCTTGGCGTTCCCAGCACATACATACATATTCATTACATAAGCATACATATGCATGTTATTTCCAGGAATAGGCAGTTCTATTCCCTGAGGTAGATTATGCCACTTTGTGCCAGTGCACTGCATCCTGGTGGTCATCTCTGGGGATCGTGGGGGTGAAGGCTCGAACTCTCATCAGAGCTGAACTTTGCAACTTTTGTCTTGGAGCATGCATAGTACTGTCCTAGTAACAGTCCAGACTGCTGAGGCAGCAGTTTGTTTTCCTTATATACCTCTTGTTAACTGAATTACTATACCCTTCCCTTACCAGCAAACATTCCTCAGACTGAGCTAAATCACATCAGCTAAGCAAATGGTGAGCACTGCCTGGATGCTGGGGAGGGGAAGTCTTTCTAAACTTAGTACTTTTCCATCATCAATGTATCGTTCCACATTAGATTTCTCTCTTGAAAAATAGTTATTTCCAGCTTTAAATCCCAGCTCTTCCTGCAGCATGTCCTGGTTTCCACAGGATAATGCTGTGCTCTCGTGTTTCTTGTAAGAACCAAAGGATACAGCAGCCTTGTGGATTATATGTACAATGCTGTAGCCATTTTGTAAATAAAGGAATATAAAGGTACTGGGTTGCTTGAAGAACGTGGATAAAACTTGAGGGGAAGGAAGTGGTCATCTTTGGGTAGACAATGTCTTACTATATAAAGCAAGTCCAGACACAAAAAAAAAAATTTCAAAAGTTATGTGGAACAGAAGGAAGTCAGGATGCAAAAAGTTTAAGGGTAGAGCTGGTTTCCCAAGTCCTAGAAAATTAACAAGCGGGAAAATCCATCTGTTCCCTGGTCCAGTTCTCTGGAAAGGGATGGGACATTATTTCTAGTCCAAAGTAGTGCTTAGTAAATGTCATCCATGTTTGAGTTTTGTGAGTGCTTGAGAGCCACTTTCTGGTGGTGCCCTTTCTTGCACACCCACTTTGTGTGACAGACAGAGAGGTGGTTGTTGGGCTGGTGATTGGAAGAGGAATGGCCCTGTTTACCTGTGTTTCTTGCAGCATAAGGATGCTGGAATAGATCTGCCATGAGGATGAAGTCTGAAGTGGCCCTGCTCTCCCATGTGTTGCATTTCTATTTGAGCGAATTGTTCATGCTCCTTTAATGGTGCTTTTGTTTTAATTTCTGCTGTTACAAATTCTAATGCCTATAGGAAGCCTTGAGTTTGGATGTTATTAAGTGAAAATTAAGGCCCTCATTCTCCATGGAGAAATCCTCTTGGGCAGTGTGGTAATTTCATGCCTGAGAGGAATCATATTTGTTGGATTATTTCTGTAACTTAACCAAATTAGCCTTGAGAAACTATAGGTCTCAATGAGAGTCTTGAACTCTCTGCTCTATTAGTTATAAACATCAGCAGGCTCCTTGCACAAAGGGTGGAGACTTGGTTTGAAAAGCAGGAAAGTGCTCTTATTTTGTCAAGGCTCGTGACGGCGGCAGACCCTGGGCTTGAGGCTGTTTGTAGTACTCTGAGCCCTTAGTAGGGCCAGACACAAAGTCACATCAGGCAGGTGCTCGTGCAACCTGAAGCAGCCAAGTGATGTTCACCTTCTTTATGTACCCATCAAAAGAATCTTCTTTTGATTAATTAGATTCCTAAGAAGACTTGGATAGTAAGAGGGATTTGGTTAGCAATTTTGGTAAACTGGGTTCAAAAAGTCATGGAGGGGGTGCGGAGGGGGGAAGGTGAGATGTGAGCAGCCTCTGATGTGTCTGTGGCTCATGGGAAACAGGGTGGGGAGGCCTTATGTTCTCTGCTTCCAAAGGGTGCCACAGCCTGGAGACAACGGTGTTAAGGGAATTTCTGAGTAAGTTTTCTCAGTGACCTAGCAGAGTTTGATGGCAAGGTTCACTCTATTGCTTAGTACAGAGACCATGATCAATTGACACACATGCAGGCACAGAGATGTGCACGTCGATATGTGTACAAAGGTACCTATAGAAAATTCCCCTCGAGTTCAGTGAAATACATCATCAAATCCATTTCTCAACAGGCAAGAGTGCTGTGTCCAGTTCTAGGCCTCTCACTGCAAGAAAGACATCAAGTTGTTTGAGGGAGTCCAGAGAAGGGCAACGAAGGTGGTGAAGGGTCTTGGTAAGTCCTATGAGGAAGGATAGAGGGAGCTGGGGTTGTTTAGCCTGGGGAAGAGGAGGTTGTTACTGTTCGCATACGGTGATCTATGGGCTGTCCACTGTAAATATTAATTTTAAGTAATATTTCAGCTACAGTGTTGTCTCTTCTAACTATTATTAATGTTCAAATTGTTAGCTCCAGGTTTCACTATGATTCATCTTGGAATTGCACAGCAGAGCCATACAGTTCAAATAAAGTCCAACTTGCAGCCTAACAATCCTGGCTACCTGTGTCAAACAAGCACTTAGCTACTTTCAAATAATATAAAATTTTCAGCACCAGTGTATCCTTTGGGTCTGCCCTGAATGGCATTCTGGATTTTCAAAGTTCCATTGTTGCTCCTTCCAGGTGAACTGAGACACTGCCACTGGTACGACTCCTCTGTCCAGAATGGCTTCTGGATTCCATAGAAACATGGTGACACCTTGTGCTCCAAGGCTGGTAAGAGAGGCAGAGAAACCTGTAACTTAAAGTACCTGCTGTGCCACTGGAGCCAAGCTAAACAAATTTAAAGCTGAAGCATGAGCATGTGCTTCCTTCTGTTCCCTTTGTGTGGGCAGTAATTCCTTCTGTCAGGTAGGCGCACTCACCTGTGGTGGTCTGACCACATCTGGGCATATGGAGGACTGCTCAAACTCTGCCTGAAGCTTTGAGAGCCTCGGCTGGTCCCTGCTGGAACAGGTTCCAAAACAATTGTTGTGTCATATCTCCTGTGTGGAGCACAGATCCAGCCCTACAGACAGCAGTGGAATCAGGGCAATTCCTCCTTCCCATCCCCTTTGCTGACTGGAGTTCACTTGATGGGACGACCTAGTGCTGAGGCTCTGTCAAGGAGATCTCTCTGTATTCTTCTGTTGAGGGGTCTGTGAGACCAGACAGAGAGAAAACAAGTGCCAATTAAAAAAGAGAGAACTAAAACTTGGACCCATTTCTCTGCACCTCAGCCTTGGCACAATGCTGCTTTCCTGCTTCCCTTGGACTTGCCCAGCAGTGACATCTCCACATACTGTGGGTTGGGAGCGTTATGCAAGCATGAAGTTAGGGGAGTTCTGATAACTCCTCCACACTCTCTGCCGAGGTCACTGGCACAATCCAGTGGAACTAAAGAGGAAACAAATGCCCAAAGAACAGAAATCCCCAAACATGTCACATCAAGTCATGGAGAAGATAATGGGACACAGCCTTGTGGTTAGAGCAAGTGTGCTCCATATCATTAATTTACTGATGTTGAATATTTCAGCAGATAATTTCCATGGCTGTCCTAGTGGCTGTGATCACAAATTATTCATCAGTGGCACTTGAACAAGAAAAAACATTCTGAACAAGGGCGGTTTTTTGCTTTTCAGCAAGGAGATGTCTCTCAGAAGCCAGCAGAAGTTGGCTGGAACTCGGGGAATGAAGCTGCCCTCAATTGTCCAGCCTCTAGACATCAGAGAGACCTCCCATCGCAAAGTAGCCTTTTCCTGCCCTTCTGCTTAGTGTTTGGTGTGACATTTGAAGGGGTTGTGTGCTGGTGATAGGCTTGCCTTCACCTCATTCAAATACCTCAGTGTCCAGGTCCTGCTTTTGTTTCAAACTGCTGCTGGGGGTGATGTTCCTTTTGCTGGGGCAAAGGCAAAACATTTCCCTGGTAAGACATTGGAGCCCTGATTTGCGCTAAGACAACACCAATAAGCTCTGCTGAAGCTGGTGGGGTTTGCTGGAGTTCAGCTGCCATTGCTAAAACACAACACTGGGGGAAGGCTGGAGCAGGACACAAGGGCTCAGGCTTGCCATTTTTCATTCTCTTGCTGAAATAGCCACCTCTTGCTTTGGTGTGGTCACCATCAAGCGCTTGGGGTTGTAGGATTTTCTCCATAGTGGCAATGGTGTCCTTTGAAGGCTGAGGGCCTGCAGTAATTACTTCCAATTTAACAAAACAAATTGCATTGATGATATGAGTTTGTGTGGGACCCTGACACAGCGTTAGATTTTGCAGGCTGCCAGATACACAGGGTACTCACCCTGGGCAGAGGGGAGTGGATGTGCTTTCTCTGGGTCAGGGTTTACTTAGAGGTGTGTTTAAGGCTGCTTTACTTAGAGGACTGCTCAGTATAAAGCATAGTCCAAATGCACAGATGAGTAAGGGAGGCTGTTGAGCAGGAAATTGCCAGCAAGAGACTTGTAACAAACTGGTTAAGGATTGCCCTGGAGAGCACAGGAGGTTGGGAATGCATCAAATGAGTGCACAAATAGCTGGAGGCATGCTGCAGCCACGCACTTCAGCGTGACTGTGCTGTGGAGACGCAGGACACCTGCCTGTGTCTTTTGAGTGGGAACAGTGCAGCTGAAGAGGGACACAAAGAAGGGAAGAGTTTTCTCCAAATAATGCCTGTGCTCTGTAAACATTTGCTGCTGTTGTATCATTCCAGACATGCCTTTGCAATGGTATTAAATAAGATAACAATAATAGATTACAAGAAATCAGCCATTTCAAGCTTGTGGAAAAAGGAGACACCAAGTCTAGTCTTACTCAAGTTGCCCAGTAGTGCTGAGAAAAGAACTGAACTTTATTCCCCATCCAGCATTCACCTCATCTGTCTTTCTTCTGATTGCTGTGTTACTTTCTTTTTGCCCTTACCCCCTCTAGTACTGCTCTCTTCTTATTTTTGTCATAGCTCTAGATCAGAAAAAATATTTGGAGTTGTCCGGGACTTGGTCTGTCTGTCTCAGAGTAAAGGTCATCCCCAAATTGTTTCCCATGGAGTCTGATGTAAATTCTTGGGCTTCACTTGCTCCATGAGTGCTCCAAGCTCTGTTAGCCAGTGCCCTGGAGTTCTGTGACGTGGGGGCAAGCACTGCCTGGCATTTTGGAGAAGGAAACCTGAAGAAACACCTGCCAAAAGAGCCACTTAGCTTGAGCCTGCTCGATATGGTCCAGCAGCTTTTGATGAGCTCAGAGCAGAGGTGTGTGAGTAGTGTTTCTGCAGCATGAGCTGGGCAGACGTAGTTATCAAGAGCCTCTACTTCACTGGGGATCAGTGTAGGATTCTCACTCATGAATCTTTCTCCCAGCAGCTGAACCTCTCCTTGCTCTCTCTTGCCTCTCCAGTTATCACCAGCTGACCCAAACCAGCCCATGATTCAGCCTGCCCCAGCAGAGGTGCTATTTCAGAACTACATCCCTGGTGAGGTCTGTGAAATGCCGCTGGTTCTGAGGAACAGGGATAAGGTAAGTGGTGGTGGTATCTAACTCAAAGTAACTTCTTTCCCTTGAAAGGCCTGGATTGATGGGAATGCTGAGGGCTTTCATGCTTTGCCTTGAGTGTGCACCATGTCCTGTGGCTCCTTGGTTAGTCTTGGTTCCTGGCAGGAATCTCTCCTCTCTCAGCCTCTTTAGTTGCCTCTGTGCAGCTCACAGTCAAAGCTCAGGTGTTGAGTCTTCTCCACTTTATGCTGGAATCAGTTTTAATTAGTGGCATTGGCACTGCAGTAAATGTGTTTGAAAACAGTCCTGGAATCAGAGTCATTTAGCAGAAGCAGCAGGAGGCCTTTAGGTGTCACTTCAGGCTCCTGCTAGACTTAATTCAGCTCTGCTCAGGTTTTCCAAAGACAATGTGATGCTCTGCTTTCCCTTTGGAGAACCACAGCACACCCAGAGCAATGTGTTCTTGGCGCTGTCCACCTTCACTTGAACAAATTGTGATTGTTTTGCAATTTCCCAGAAAGTTGAGATGCAAAAAGTTGAAACATGTCAGCAATTGTGTTCCAGTGTAAAGTGGAAAATGGAGACCTTTTGAATTTCAGACAGGGAAACATTTACTCAAATATGGCTTGTACCAAGAGCAGGCTGGTGAAAAGAGAGAGACAGGAGGGAGTCAAAATCACCTGTTCTAGACTTTGTGAGATGTGACTTGGTACTCGGGGGTTGATACCTGTTTGCTAGAAAATGTCTGTGTATCCCAGAGGGCAGAAACTGGCAGCCGGGTGCCTGCAGGACCTCCTGGGTGGGGGGAGGAATGCTCAGCAGTCTGGCTTGCTGGCACTGGCAGCTATCTGACCACAATCACCAGGCAGCAAAAGCCCCTGGAGAGCAAAGATTGGCTTTTAGCTTCGAAACCATGCTGTTGAGTCTGTGCTGGACATGTTTCTCCAGGTGGAAAATGCCTTTGAGGCTCACAGCTGACAGACACAGCCTGGGGGCTCATCTGGCTTTCCATCACTTTGGCAAGTGAAACTGCTCCCATCTTCTGCACCAGCCTTTCCTTGTAGTGTCTTGTGCTTCTTCCTTGCTTCTTTACAGCCCATTTGAATTCTCTTTGCCATCTCCTTATTTCATGGGTTATCTCTTTGTCTTGCCATGCTCCTCCTTTTGCTCTTCAGGTTTGCTTTAATTTCCAGTAAGGCCACAGTGTCTCCTCTTGCTGATCCTCCTGCATGACTGTATCCCTGCAGCTGGACTGCCCCAGTCAAACCCAGTCTCTTAGAAGAGAATTTCTTCCTTCTCTCAGGATAACATGTGCTATTTTGCCTTCAGGTAGCACATTTCCTCTGTGGAATGGAGCTGCATGGCTATGTGCAGCCAGAAGCAAGCAGGTTCTTTGGGCTTGCTGAATATGCAGATGACTTGGTTCAGGTGCTCTGTATCCATATGACTGGTGCCTTACCTGCTCAGCACTTTCTTCCCACCAGGCATTGCTCTACTGCCTCTGGCTGAGCTGCTTTGCCCAGACAGATGGGATTCGATTTCACCCTTGTGTATTATGTGTCAAAGTGCTTTGAAAAGGTGGTTAAGGAAGGATGCCACCAGGGTACAGCCAGGTCTCATCTCCTGTTTCCACAAGTGGCAAAATCATTGTTTCATGTCTTTCCTGCAGGTTCCTCGGCTGGTGAAGGTCACCTTGGAGAACTCCCCTTATTTCCAGTTGGTTGGCCCCAATGGTGTGTGCCATACACTACCACCAGGCATGTGTTCTACTTTACGCATCCTCTTCACCCCGGATGAGAACAAGGTGAGTCTGGAGGAACATTATATCTAAAGCTATCATTTTCCTTGCACACTGGTTGTAGCCACCCTGTGCCATGAGCTTGTGTCCAGATCTGCAAAAGCAGAGGGGATTTAGGACTGAGTATACCCAGAGCAAGATTATGGCACAGATGAGGTCAGATGTTGGTAACTAAAACTGTAACTCGCTTTATTAGCATCCGAGAGAGGGATAAAAAAGCGGAAAAGAAGAAAATATGCAAAGAATATAATAAAAAGCAAACAATAGTCACCACTATGGATCCAACATCATCCAGTTGATCTGTCTGCTTTGGCAGGGGAGATGTCTTGCCTGGGGCTGTCAGCTCACAGCTCTTATGCTTACAGGTCCATTCCCCTTTACAGCTTAATTGCAGCAGTTTGTAGACCAGGGTGACAGCACTTGCCCCCCAGAGGCCTTAATATTCAGTCCTTATCAGAGTCCTTTGCTGCGGTGAATTGACGATATTTGGGCGAAGTGAGAGTGATAGTGACAGCAGTTCTCACAAACCGAACTCCTCACGTGAGGAGGCTGTTGTGTCTGCTCCATATCTACCTGTCCCAGGACAGCAATTCTCTGGTACTGCAAGGCCTGAGAGTCATTGTGCTGGCGATGACATCTAGGTACACTGCACTTGGAGACACTGTCAAGACAAAACAGTACATTTTTTTCGGTCTGTTACAGCTCAGCTCTAGGCTGTGGGCAGGCAGCCTTCAGCCAGTCACCCCTTGGCCTGGGCTGGTGCTGCCAGCCAGGGCAGCCAGGCCTGATGGGGTGGGCTTTCCCTCGTGCTGCTTTCCCAAGCATTCACAAGGGAAGATGTACATGGAACAGTAGGGAAGTGATGGGAGAGGTGCTGATAAGATGTTTAGTCATCTCTAGGCTCAGTGGAAGTGGTTTAATTATTATGGAAAATAGTAGAGGAACAAGTAGATCCAGGGAGCTTTTCTCTTTCCCATCTGGCAACCTATGCTGTTTTCAGCTGAGATGGAATTAATTTTTTTCTTCTCAGTAGCTGGTACAGTGTGGTGTTTGGATTCAGAGTTGATGGCACACTGATGTTTTGGTTTCTGCTAAGTTGTGTTTATCTTAAATCAAGGGCATTTTCTTTCTTGTGTCTCATGCTCTGCCAGTGAGAAGGTACACAAGAGAAGCTGGGAGAGAACATAGGCAGAACAGGTGACCTGAACTAACCAAAGGGATATTCCATACCATAGAACGTCATGCCCAGTATATAAGCAGAAAAGGGGGCCGATCTGGGGGGAGGAGCAGGGTTGTGTCAGTCTGCAGGTGGTGAGCATCTCTGTGCATCACTGATTTTGTTTTGTTGGTTTTTTCCCTTTCACTTTCTTTTTATTATCCATTAGCATTTTAGCTCCTTCTACTCTTTATTATTAAACTGTTCTTATCTCAACCTACATATTTTATTTTCTCCTCCTCATTCCTCCGGGTTGGGGGAGGGGGAGGAGGGAGGAAGGATTGTGAGCAGCTGCTAGTTCTTGGCTGCTGGCTGGTGTTAAACCTCGACACAACCACTTCCCTGCCTGACCCTGGACTGGCGGAGCAAAATGATACCTTTGAACACTCTCTGTACTCCAGTCTCGCAGCTGTGCTATCCTTGAGGACTTTGCCTGCTTGCAATCCAGCAAATCCAGGCCAGGGGAGAGGATGTGTTGTGCACGTGGCAGGGAGTCAGCCCGGCCCAAGCACACTGAGCTTAGGTGCCCTGAGTCAGCAGGAGGTTGGTGTGCTGCAGGTGACCTGGACATTTGCCTGAAGGAGCATGTGTAGGGCATGTCTGCAGGCAGACATGTTACCCCAGAGCCTGTGGGCAGTAATACAGCTGTGGCTGCATCTTCATGCATGTCACTGTGATTGCTCTGTTGCTGGCAGCTATTCCATGCCAAACATGCTCTGTTTTGCTTGGAGGTTTGAACATCAGTGCTAAGGCCCTAGCAAGACTGATTTCAGTGCTGTGATGTGAAGGGCCAATGCTGTTATCCAGAGGCTTGCTAATACAGAAGGGTTTAGGCCATGGCATGGAAGGGAGGAAGCCTTGTAGGGAACCAAAGAGAGGTAGGCTCACTCCTTCCACTAGCATCCTGCTACCTCTTAGCTACCTCTTAGTTCTTCACCTGACTTGGCTGGAGAGGCAAGGTTTGCAGGGAGCTCTGAGCTGGTGTTTCTTCACCAGGCTAGAGGTGCAAGATCTCTTTGGGCATAGCTGTTTTCTCATCTTCCCTTTGCTGCTTAGAGTTAGTTTAATGCTCTGTCCTATCATCAAACAGCATGGATATTGAAATGTAAAGAGGAAATGCCCTGTGTTCCCTAGCTCCCTGTTCCTTAAGAGGGACTGAGCAATTATTTAACATCGTTAAATTCAGAGTGAAAATGATGCTGGTTCTCTGTACTCTCCAAGTGACACAAGAGCTTTAATGTCACTGAGGTAGGCTTTGCAAAGTACATTGGTGCCTTTCAAATGTAATTTATTGGTGTAAATTAGTGTTCATTTTGGGGGTGGAAGAGGTAAATTGATGCCCATGAAGGATCACAGAAAACAGCAGTTTTTCTTCTGCCATGGGGATGGTGCTAAATGCTCTGTGCTGAGACTGTTTCTTTTCCTGCAGGATTATTTTCATGAGCTCCACTGTGTCTCTAAAAGGCAAGAGTTTGTGGTGCCAATTCGAGCCATTGCTGCCCATACCACCTTGGACTTCCCTGGCCAGCTGGACTTCTCGGTCTGTCCAGTCAACTACCGCACCCAGAAGACTCTGCTGGTTCACAACCTCGGTAACCTGGAAGCTCATTACCACATCAGCACTGAGAGGTAAAGCAGCTCATCTTGCTGTGTGCGCAACAGCTGTGGGTGATGAGAGAGTTGGTAAAGAGTAACCAAAAGGCACCAGAGCTGCTGCACTGCAGCCATAACTGGAAATGGGCAGGACATGTGAGGTCTGCTGTTGCTTCTAGTGTTTTAAGCCGGATGCAACCTTTGAGCTTTCTCTCTCCCAGATTTCCTAGAGAGTGCTGGAACATGTTAATAGCTGACTTGCACCCTCCTGAGCATGCACACCTTCTGAAATTGTTACCTACCACTGTCAGCCAAATAGACCCATTCTCTGGGAGGCTATGAGCATGTGGCCTTATGGAGATCCCCTCATCAGATGCCCAATGTGAGCTGTGTTGGGGGCAGCCTGTGCTGTTCCTGTTAGTCCAAGCTAATCTGATTTGAGGTCATCAGACATTTCTTCTGTTTCATGATGAACCATTGAAAGCCAGTTTAAAATTTCAAAAAGATGATTTAAATTTTTTAATAGAAGCAGCATTTTATTCTAATTAAGTTGCTCCCCCTTCCATTCAGATTTTAAATACTCTGAAGTTTCTGTGTTTATGTTCTTTTTGGGGGGGGGGGGTTGTTTTGTGTAGGATGTTTTCAAGGTAAAAAAACCCAAACAACCACACTGTAAATTAAACAGTAATTATTCTTTGGTCTTCAGGGAAGACTTATTCTCCCTATCTAATTCCTAGGCTGTAATCTCACAGGACAGGTAGTGCCCTGACATTTGTATCTCTTATAGATGGAAGGAAAAGGGGAAGTTCCTGAGGAAGTCGGTGTCACAATGTGCCTGCAGATAGCTCTTAACCCTCTCTCTCTGTGCTCTTCACAAACCCTTCTCTGATGGGATTTCTGGCAGTCAGACCCTTGAGCCTCATTGCAGAATATGGGGGACATGAGGTCATTTTATCCCACAGGATCTTCTGAAGGCTAGATCTCCTCAGAAGTGAGCCAGTAGCTGTTTCTGATCCTGTATGTTCTCTCTGTCTTGTAATCAGACTGTGGTTTGTTTGCTCCTTGCTTGCACAAGTGAGCTGAACTGAACTACACTGCAAAAGAAACGTTGTCCTCAAATCTCCCTCAAGAGTCCTGATCTCTTTGTGTTGCAGCCCTTTCTCTGCCACTCCGGCCATGGGGACTGTCAGCATTGGCGAGTCCATGCAAGTGACAGTGGAATTTCACCCGCTGCAGACTGGTGATCACTCTGCATCCCTGGTCGTGCACTACCACACAGGTGAGTGCGGGGCCCTGCACAGTGCATACTCTGCATCCTTCAAAATGGCAGAGCCCTTTTGTCATGACCCATCCAAGCAGAATAATTGAACTTGCTTTGCAAACTATATGTGGAACTGTTCTTTCAAGTCCTTTGCATGTTTCAGTGCTCATAAGTGGGTAGATAAGGGACCGAGTCTGAGTCCGTCTCTGTTCTGGATGTGCTGTGTTGCTGCGTGCTGGTCCGTCCCTGGGGGGCACCCTGGTGTCAGCACGGTGTTCTTCATCCAGCACCCCCGTGACAGTCCTCTGCCATCATTCCACCTCACTTCCCTCTCCAAGTGCACCTGCCCTTTCCCAGCCTTACCACAGAGAAAAGTGAGGATCGGTGTTGAGGGGGTTGATAAAGTGAATCCCCTCAAACAGGGATGAGATTTTTGGCATCCTGTTTTGCTGGGAGTTGCTGAGTGGAGGAAGGAGGAACCTTGATTCTCCATTACAGTGTGGATATGCATGGGTGAAGGTTTATTCCTAGAGGGTGCTCTATTTGGCGTGTGAGGTCTCTACCAGACTCACTCTGATGCCTGCTGTCTCTTGCACACCTCTGTCCTACGAGCTGTTTCTCCATTGTCTTGCCACTGACCCTTTTCCTATGTTGCCCTCTATGCGTATGTATAGTTTCCATCTAATAACATTTTCAGGCCCTCGAGTTCCTGTTGGATGACAGATCATGACAAATTTTTCCTTGTTCCTATTTCCCAGGCTATTCATGCTTTTCCAAACCTCTCCCATCTTATCTCCCATTTGATTTCTAGGTTGAGGAATCCTATTCAGTCTTCATATAGAAGCTGCTCCGCACTGTTAATCTGTCTTTCTGTCCTTGATTTAATTTGAAATGCTTCAGCTTGGCTTTTGTGATTAGAATAATATCAGATATTTCAAGACTGCTGTGGCCGTAGGTTTAGATAAGGAGATGGTGATAGTTTTCATGGTGTTCATTCTGTAGTGGTTTGTCATATTGAATGTTGTAGAGTATCGAGTCATGTTTTTCCACCTGTGTCACCTCCTGCCATGGACTGTCACTTCATTTATTCCTCTGGGCCTCCCTTTTCTGCCCACATGCCCCCAGGCATCTTTGCTTCTCAGAAACAAGAGATCAGAAGAGACAGGAGACTCATGGAATGCCTACAGGAGACCCTGGACAAGCTGTGACTGAACAAGACTCCTCAGAGTCACCTGAATGACTTTGATGCAGAATTCCTGTGATCTGGGTGGGTCACCTGAGCACATCTGGCAAATGGGTGTCACCCTGGGGACATATCTGTCACCTTGGGGACAAATCTCTACAAACACAGCCAGAAATATGGTGTTTAAGGTGGTGTACAGGACATCCTCATGCTGTACACATGGAGCTGATGGGATGTGATAAGTGTACTGATCCATGGAACTGCCCATGCCGCTAAAAGCTGTGACACTTTCTTCTGTTCCTTTCAGTTTGCTCTGTTCCTTGTACTTCCATTGGTGAGTGAGCTGAGCAAAGACTCCTCTTTGCATTGTTCCAGGTAAAGATATCCACACGAGCCTTCATGGAACAGCTGTGGATGTCAACATTGGGATGGACAGGGACTCTGTAACAGTGGAGCAGACTTACCTCACACTGTCAAATCACAGGACCGTGGTCATCCACAACAGGAGTAACATCACAGCCCGCTTCCAGTGGAAGGCTGATGCTACTCAGGAAGAGGAGGATGAGCAGAAGCTGAGGTTGGCTTGAAAGATGCTTTTCAGTGACATACACTGCCCAAGGGTAAAACTGACATATGGCATCAGGGGAGTATTGGTGGTTTTGAATGGTTTAGGACAAGTAAACCATCCCCAGCATCAGGGTATGTGTCCCTGGGCTTCAGTGTAATGGAGCTTAGCAATTCCCATTCCAGTTCCATCTGTTCTCCAGATTGGGGGTATGTGTGGCTTCAGTGTAATGGAGCTTAGCAATTCCCATTCCAGTTCCATCTGTTCTCCAGATTGGGATGATGTTTTGGGTCAATTCCAACAACTGGATTTCCTCAGAGAGCCACAAACCACTGAGGTTCAGAAATTCCTGAGCTACAGAGAGTCCATGAGGCTGATGAGAGCACCAGCAGTTTGGGCAGTGGCTTTGAGCCAGGAGGTTCTCTTGTAATGGAGCTTAGCAATTCCCATTCCAGTTCCATCTGTTCTCCAGATTGGGATGATGTTTTGGGTCAATTCCAACAACTGGATTTCCTCAGAGAGCCACAAACCACTGAGGTTCAGAAATTCCTGAGCTACAGAGAGTCCATGAGGCTGATGAGAGCACCAGCAGTTTGGGCAGTGGCTTTGAGCCAGGAGGTTCTCTTGAGGGCTGCTGGCTTTCAAGACCTCTCCTGAGCTTGTAAGTGTGGAGTAAAACTGCCTGCTGTGCCAGCAAACAGCAAGTGATCCTCCTGGTTCCTTTGGGCCTTGTGGTTCGGGGTCAGCCCCTTGCTGAGGAGCTGCTACTGCTCCTGCCAAGTGCTTTGCTGCTCCTGCACTGACACTTATCTCTGCAGATATGTGGCTTGTTAAATAATCTGGGTTTGTCTCTCCCCATGGCTGCAGGCTGTGTCAGCAGAAGAAGGACAACGTGGGTGATTTTCTAATGGAGAGCAGAGAGAACATCACTCACGGAGAATACCGTTCCCTTTTCTCCCGCACCTTCCACAGCCAGAGGGCAAAGATGCAAGGAGACCCCATTCTGTTCTCTGATGACATTTTTGCCATTGAGCCACTGGTAAGTGATAGCTGACAACCTCACTTCTTCGTTCTCCTCTTCCTCTTCCTTCTCCTCCCTGCATGAGGTCACTTGACAGATCCCTGCCTCAGCTGGCTTGATGTGCCAAGAGAGAAGACATGGGGTTCCTGGTGAGGCTGGAGAGCTTGTGCAAAAAGCATTTCTGCCCTGCAGGCTCCTGGCAGGTGGCAGGAGCCTGCCCAAGGCTGAGCTCTGCTGCAAGGGCATGCTTGGTGCATGTCCTTGCAGTGTCCAGAGGGATCAATTATTGTAGGTAGGGGCACACCTTACACGTGGTGTGTGGGGAATAACAGAGGGTGTTGGAGCACTGTCAGTTCACATATTGACCTGAAGCATGCAATGGTTGGTTCTCTTTGGAGAGGAGGCCAAATTCAGCCCAAAGTTAATCATGGAAATGCCAATTCCTTCCTGTAACATGGACTTATACCACTTCTGAGTCTCCCTTCATCTATGAGCCTGGACACAAAGCTGGCAGGTGTAAAATGGACTTCTTGAGTTCTGTTGCACACAGGGACAGAAAATGTTTTCCTTTTCTGTTTATGCAAGCAAACCCCCTTGTCCTTCCATCAGCCAGAGCCCTGATTCTGAGTATTAGCATGGTGTGAGATGAAGAATGCTTTCTCTCTGTGCAGTGCAAAATCCCTTCTCATGTTGGAGTAAACCGTCGAATAATCCCAACCTCTACTTTCTTTCAAGATAGGTTAAACTTTTTTTTCTAAGGAAGGGGATCATATTCTTTTCTTGGTTACTCCTATAGCCTATCTAAGGCCAAGAACCACCAGTGTCAGCACAAGGGCAATTTCACACCACTGTAACTGCCAGCAGCATGATGTGGCCAAGAGCTTGTGTCAGAGCAACAGGAGTATTATAGAGAGTGGGAGCTGATCATCTGAGCATTAAGAGCAAAACCAGCTCAACCCAGTGCAGGGTGGAGTATTTCCTCAGGCTCCTTGTGTTGTTCGCTCCTTGCTCATCATTTATGCTCTAAAGAAAGGCTTATAGGGCTGTGGTTGAAAACAAGAAATGGGATGTTTGAAGATGTCAGGGACTGGAGGCAAAGCTATCTGGCTCAAAACAACCCGTTGGGAAA